AGTTTTTTTTTATTATTAGTACAGTAAATAAAAAAAATATATGTGAGAGCTACACTTACGGTCAATTTCTTTTATTCTTGCCTTTAATTAATCTTAAATTTGACTAGTGTAGTTCAAACATACAATTAGCTTTTTCTTGCAAAATTATTAAATTTTAATTGATTTTCAATTGCACATTACATATTTATTGCTTAAAAATATTGACATAAGTAGTGTTAATAAAAAAAATGGGTGTAAAAAAAATTGAGATGCCTCCATCGAGATTCATTAGATACTGATAGGTAAAATGAATACTACACAACTTGGCTTGCAAAACTGTCGTTTACCTTAGATTGCATTTCTCAATTAAGTAAGCTTAAAGAATAGAATAAAATCGTTTAACAGTACTATACTAATTATAATAAATACCATTTGTTCAAACCAATTTTTTCAGTTCATAATATTTCAATATGAAGCTTGTTCTTTTCTATTTTAATAGTAAAAATACATGTAAAACTGTTCATCTAGTAAAAACTAAAATGGCAAATCATCATAAGTTGAATATGAATACGAATTCAGAGTCAAGGATCCGTCGTTATCCGTTTCGGATTTCAAAATATTTTGAAATAATTTATATTGTTTGCCATGAACGTCATTATTTCCTCAAAAATACGTGGTTGTAAGACTTTTAAGGTTTTAAAAGAGTCTGTTTCAAGTACTTCATTAAAATTTTTTAGTATAAACCGAAGTGACTCTAATTTTACAAATTGAGATCTATATTGATCAGCAAACAAATAACAGTTTGCTACATTTTCGCTAGTCATACTTGTAAGGAATGTTATTTCAGTTAACAGTTTTAAGCCTCTGATTAAATATCGATCAGCAGCAACAAATAAGTCAGTTACATCGCATCCATCTATTTTAAATTCACCAGTGTAAATGTAATGCAGCATAGCTTTGACAGTCACTCCATTACATTTTTTGATTTTTATTACACGCTTTTGATTTTCTATCATATCGTGCTCAAGCATTACTGCAAAAACGGATGACTGTGATGCCAAAACGTTCCGGTGAGCCGAAAATTCTGTACCGTCGTTTGCGATGAGCACAATATCACTTAATGTGCCTTTAGAGTTTGTAGCTAGACATTGTAGATTCCAGTTGTTAAATACATTCTGTTTGTATGTATATTTTTTCCATTTAATAGAGCAATTAATGACCAAAACGTCGTCTTCAAGATTAATAATTTTGCTTCGTTCAACAAACTTTGTGAAACCACAATTGAATTTAGAATGCTGAAGGACATTGTCTGATACTATTTTTCGAGTTTGCAAACATTTTTCTTTTTTATCATAAAAACGGAATTTACAGCTTACAGGTATAAAATTCTCATGATAAATATTCCACTCGGCAAAAATAGAAATATAATTACTTTCTGTATCAGAAATTCCGAAAGGATAAATGCGAAAACTACACTGGCTTGTGCCCAAATCAGGTACTTCAAATTTCTGAAAAAAAATATCAGAAATATTTTATCAGTTTTTAAAATTAAAAAACGGCTAAACCTTTCTGGCAATAATTACTATAGAATTACTTAATTGCGAAACATAGTTACAATCGAGTAGCGTAAAAATAATAAGTATGGATTGACTCAAGTTTTTTAAATATTAAATATTCAGTTCGCATAGAAATTACGTACTGAACAAGTTTCTTCTTAACTGTTGATTATAAAATCAAGTAAGATAGTATTAAAATGGAAAAAAAATTAAAGAAGTATGTATATTATTTGATTATAACTTCATACCTGCGATTCAAGGTACTCTCCAAGATTTTTCTGGTATAAGCTAAATCCTTCTATTTTCCATGAATAAGCTGTTTTTGATAATTGTGGTGTTTCAGTGATTAACTCCATGGTAAAATACCGGAATTCAACAACTTGAACGCGGCCGCTTTTTTATTGTACGGAAATGTAGTTTTTAATAATGAGTATTCAATACACTTACAAACAATAGCTTAAAGATAATTCAATGATTTCCCCATCTATTCGTTACTTAACGGTTTAAACAATTTCAGTTTACTTTTATTACTTTTGAAAAAAGCACTACCTACAACTCTCCAGCTGAGCTTAACTAGAACAACTGAATTGTTTTGCTGTTTTATACGAACACTGGAAAACTTTTGGTACGTCATACTAACCAAACGTTAATGAATAAACTCTTGTATAAGCCGTTAATTGCAGATTTTCTAATTTATTAAGTTTCATTTTATATTTCACCCACTTCTTATACTTAGAGTACTTATTTACATGACTTTAATAGGTATTATCAGTAATCATAAGTGATGCGTAAGCACTCAGTTGTCGTGCGTAAGGATGTTTTTCATGATGTCGCTAATCGCTTCTCACAGCATAATAGGTATAGGAGTAAGATGACAACAGATATCGCTAATAACGAGAAAACTTACTCACAAAATTGTGTTAATGGTGTTGCTTTTGTTTTGTCCTTAGTCAAACAGATTTGCGTAAATGTATAAGCAAGAATAATTTTATTAATATAAAAATTAAATGAAAATAACGAATGCTGTACTATACATCCACACGATTTTAAAAGCTTGTAGCCAGGTAATGTAGTTGACTTTTAAAAATTATCTTACAATAAATCAAGATATCAAATGTTGTACTCTTGTTCTTAGGGCCATCAGAGACGGAACGTTGTAAGATAATAATAGTCATGATAATTCGCAACAAATTTTGTTGATTAGAATGATTTATAGTTGAGTGATGTGTGGTTTATATTAATTTTAATGTCAGCTTTCCAGTCTACTAAGACTCTTCTTTTAAGATTTTACTAATACGCAAATTTTTACCATACTGACACATTCATTTTTATGGTAGTTTCCGGTAGTTCTGATAGAATCTGTAAACTTTACGCTCAATTCGCTGTGATAAAATAATAGTAAAAAAGAGTTGACAAAAAGCTAGCAAGAAGTTCTATCTCAATAAATTCATGAAGAAGTATTACGATAATAACTGTCAGAAAAAATAAGTGTGGTCAGCTTGCCTCTACTTCTGTTAAGTATAAAACGTATTAAAAAGTAAATATCTATATGTATAATCAATATATATGCTATTTTCCACAGCCTTCAAAGCAGCTGATTGTACTGTTTACCTCTGATAACTATTTTTTTAAACTTTCTCATTTTACAAATAGTCACATTTTCCCCACTTTTAGAAGTCTCATTTAATTAATCTGCTCGTGTCATTCATATGTGCTTTCTAAACTTTTCGCTCTCTCTCTTGAACTAGCCGCATATGCTAATCATTGGTAAATCTGTGTAAGTTTTCCTATAGAGTAGTTACGTATTTCTGATTTTTATCCATAATTTAGTACAGCTGATATTCTGAGAAGATATCAATACAGAATATATCATAGCCTTGTAGACATTTTTGTAGCTTACTAACAGCTTAACAATATAGCTACATTACACATAATATTAGTACTTTGTATTGGTATCAACATGTGATGATGAACAATTACAATTAAGTAAAACTACAATGGATAAAATCACTTATGAAATGAGTTTTTTTTTTTTTTAATTTTAATGGCTTTCTCAAAGCTTTTCTATTAAATAGACAAGTTAATTTTAAGGAATTTTTCCTTGCATTACAAAAATATTATATAAAAAATATAGAATATTTCATGTTTTAAAGAAAAAGAAGTACAAACGAACGTAAAAAAACAATAACATACTCTTATATTTAGTATTCTTACTGGTTTGATTCGTATAATTGATTAAAAGCTTTAGCTAAACTTTGCCAAAATGAGACAGAAGTTTTTGGGACGTCCATGTTCATTGCTGTTTGAAGAGTTCTCGGAGTTACTTTTATAACATCCCTTGAATCGACTGCCATTCTTAGTTTTGCATCTCTAGATATATACATAAGATGAACTTTTTTGCCTTCGTAACCGCAAATCTGCATAGGCCAATACTCGCCCCGATTATACTTAAAAACGATCTCTCCAATCTGAAATTCCATGACTTCTGAAATACAAATATAGATGGTTATCTTATTTATTTGCTAGAGTAATTAAAACAGAGAGTATTCATCTTTTAGGGATGCTTCGTACTCTGAAGCAGCATCAATTTTTAAATCAATAGTTATTTTCTTACTAAAATATGATAAAAACGATATGAAGCATTATTAACAAAGTCTTTACAATAAAATATTTTTTAAATCACATTTTCTACGTATGTAAGACATGCTATTTCAGAAAAAATTAATTAATTATTAGTTTACTTGATTTTAGATTGAATCAAGATTTTTCAAAATTTTAAAAATATCAATCGTGTCATAAATTATCTTTAACAAATTACATGCATGTAAACAAAAAATTATTGACCATAAGATGTTATCCTTCAAACGTTAAATACTTTTTGAAATTGAATTTGATAAGTCTGCATGAAATAGTTAAAAGGATAAAATGTTCTTCAAAAAATTAGTATTAAATTATAAGAAAGTTATTTATCATTCAATGCACTTTTTTCAATTCTTATATCTTATATTTTACTGTGTAGATAAGTTAAAACCATTTTTCTATTTGATAAAAAAAAAATTACATTTAAAATGAGACCGTATTGAATCCATACAACACAATTGTTATAACAAAGTGAATAATGTAAGATTTAAAATAAGATTGTATTTTATTCATTTACTTACAGTTTTTGCTGACGTCACTATTTTCTTGGGTTATGTCTTTTTTCACGTGGTTTCTGATAAAAACTAAGTGAACTTTTCTTCCCTTATCTTTCTCAATTCAACAACAAAGAAAATCAATGTCTTGTACTTTGAGTCTTGGGCACCTATTTAATCAATTTAATTTATTGTATTCACAATCTATTGGGAGTGTATCCACATATTTATTAAGAAACTTACCTATTGTTGCGATCTCTCTTTTTTTGGTTTACCCAAATTTTGTCGGAATAAGGAAATAATCGTTAAAGAATAAACGTTTACTTGCTCGTTGATAATTATTTATCTTGATAGCGCTGCTTTATGCTTGAAGGGTCCTTTAAAAATTATTCAGAAGATAAAAAATGTAAACTTTTTAAAAGTTTTTATTCGATTTTTCAACATAAAGAACAAAACCAGATTAATGTATTGCAACATCATGTAATTTTGGATAATTAATGCACATATTTACAGTATTTGCATCCTGATTTGATTATACCGTTATTTATTTGAATATATTGTTATTCCTCCAACAGCTAAGAGCAGGGTTTCACGTTATGAACTACTAAATATGATAATGGTTTCTACGATAAGAGAGTGAGAGAGAGACAGAGAGAAAGAGAGAGAGAGAGAGAGAGAGAGAGAGAGAGACAGAGTAAGCTTAGTAAATGTGTCAACATCACTCAAATTAGGTAGACATAACTTGAAAAGTAACAACACGACTCCAAGTACTGCTTAATGTTTACTATGCTCCAGTACCCGTTTCCACGTATACTAAATGTTAACTTGATATCAAACTTTCTGTGAATAAAATTCCTTTTAATGAAGAATTACGCTTTTATTATATTACTTCCTTGACACATGCGCAAAGGCCAACATAAACAGTGTATCACGTTCATAAGTTGTTACATCAAAACTTTTCGTGTGGTTGAAAAATCTTAGGAATCCAGAGATATGTGAAACAGTAAATTCAATACATAATCACTTTTCAGTTTTTATTAAATTCACAGATCTTTTCTTCAACCGTAGAGATTACCTTAACATTTGTTCGCAACGAAGTGTTGGACTAAATAGGTATCTGTCCCAATTATGGACCCTTTAAGAAAAATTTCGAGCTCAACTTTATTTTGTGTCTAACGGTCAATAGAAATACACCTTGTATAATAACGTATAAGTCGTTTGATTCTTTTTTAACAACATCAAATTTTTTTTTATCAAAAAGTTTTGTTATTTTTATTTTAATGATGAAACAAGAAAAAAAATTTTGTTCGTATTACGGACCCCCTCGATGGACTTTGAACCTATCGTGGACCCCCCTATTACGGACCCTGCCCATAATGTGGACCCCCCAATTATGGACCCTGTCCATAATGTAAAAAAATATTTGTATGTAATTAAATAAACATTTGAGATTCATTTATAAGTACTTCTCACACTTTTAACAGAATATATGACTAGGCACTTTTTGAGATAAGTTTTTAAGAACAAATTTTTATATAAAACTAATTTTGTGATAATTACTATTACTTTTTTTTATCATAATGATCTTATATTTTTTGTGACTTTGTTTTGGTTGTTTAGTCTTCTTGGTGCGTTTTTTAAGAGGCATTTTTTGTTGTTCTTTCTTAACTTTTAGAATGAAAACAACAGCTCGAAGTTATGAAGTTAAAGGTTACGTGTGCACTCAATACTGGCGGAATAAAGGGTCCATAATAGAGACAGGGCCGATAATCATGGCTGTATTGTGGACCCTCTAATAATGTATATAAATATACTTTTTAGAAGTATAATTTGTTTTTATTATTTTTCTTAAACTCTTATTGATATATTAAACAATTTTTTGAGTTCAAATAATACTCCTAATTTTGTATACAGCATTTCAAAAATATGAGTATCTTACGGTTTTCAACAAGGCATGATGAAGAAAATAGTCGAAAGCGTTGTGTAACTTTTTAATATATTATTTTAATGATATAACATTATTTAAATGCTATTACTTGTCATTATTATGGTGAATTAGAGAGAAAATAACAACTTGAAAAATAATTCATTGTGCTATTGAAACACTTGTTTAACTTATCATTAATAATGTGATAATGGGTCCACGATAGGGACAGGGTCTGTAATTGGGACAGATACCCTATATTTGAAAAATAATGTGCCATTTACAGAGAGTGTTTATTTTTAATGAAAAAACGTCTGATGAGTAATTTATAATTTCCATACTAACCTGGATACCCTTAATTCAACACAATTTCTTGTATCTAGCTTTTGAACTAGGATATTAAAGCGCATCAATTGTAGTATTTGACCTTGAAATGATTTTTTAAAGGCCGTTGAAAAAGCTGCCTTACCGACTTCTCAAAGAGATGCTTTTATTTGAAATGTTACCTTAAGAAAAATCTATCGTTGAGGATTTTTTAGTGTTTCTAATTTTTGTATTTTGATCTTCAAATGACCTCTGAATGTAAATCAAAGAAAGTCATTATAAAAGTAGAATTTTTCTCTCTTTTTGAACCCAAGGTAAAAACAGGCTGTCACGCTACCTTTGTACCTGGAAATAAATTTAAAAAAAAGGGGGGGGGGTACGCAGGAAGTGGACGTCGCGTCTCGTACTTCCTCCGGGTCCCTTGTCCTCTTGGATTCTGCTCCTGAAAAGGGGAGTTGTACGGGATTTCTCCTCTCGTTCTACCGAGAGAAAATAATTTTGGGAAATGCTACCGCGTCAAGTAAGGAAATCGTTTATTGCACTCTCCACACTACTTTACAAACAACTTCTCGACGGCGCTGCAGCGGTTCCGCCTCGCCACGCAAACCGCAAGCGCACGTTCGGGGTCCTGAGACCAGGAGGGGCCGCTGCCCTAACGCTCCCAGCCACGTCACGCGCGCACACACGCACACTCGCGCCCGCCCTCACACGCAACCTCTCGTCCTGTCCCTTCCTGGCCCGACACCCAATCCTGCTCTCTGCTATCGCGCCCTTTTCTTCTCGTCCCGTGATACCCTTCCTCACCCTGTCTCTCTCTCTCTCGTCCTTGCACACTATCACTGTCTCTCGGTAACCTGATTCTTATCCCCTTTCAGTCCCTAGTCCCAGTCCTCTCTCTCTTTCTCCCTCTCTCGGTCTCTCTCTCTCTTCCTACACACCTGGAGCGGAAACGCGCGAACACCCCCAAGATTCGGCACTCCCGAGCATGCACCCGCGGCTTCTCGTGACCTGGTCCTTTCTCTCTCTCTCTTTCTCTCTCTTGCTGAGTCCTTAGCCTCTTTAAATAAAAATTCAAATTCAAAATTCAAAAAAAAAAAAATTCAGTTCTCTTGCACTCTCACACACTCTCTCTCTATCTCTCTCTGAGTCCCTAGCCTCAATAAACTATTCAATTCAATTCAATTCAATTCTCTCAGTCCTCTGTCTAGTCCTGGACCTCGTCCAGGAGGCTTACCGGCGCTCGCGAGCCCTAGCACGACGCACAAAAAAAAAAAAAAAAAAAAAGAAAACGGAGGGAAAACACACGCTACTTCTCGGCTCTCTGACTCGCGGCAACGGCGTATGGCGTCCTGCTGGGCCTCGGGCCGCTGGTGAATCCGTGGAGTTGATGGCGGCGGTCCTACTCTCTCTCTCTCTCACTCTCTCTCGTCCTGCGGTCGCTCTCCTTCTCGTCCTGGGTCTCCTCCTCGCGGTGATGGTCTCCGACGACGGGGACACAGCAGCTTTCTCTTCTCTCTCTCTCTCTCGTTCGGTCGACAACTTTCTCTCACTCTCTCTCTTGCTGACAACTCCTGGCTAATATGCGCGCGCGATGGCTCTCGACTCGAGACTCCGTCAGCCCGACCCGCTGCAACCTGCAACCACAGCGCGCACCTCTCGACTTTCACTTTTTTTTCTCTCTCTCTCATACGGTATGAGATGAGTTATACCCGAGGGCCGCCGCCGCGACCCGAACAGTGGTGCGCGGGCGGCGACGGTACTGCGAAGTCGCACATGCGCAGAAGAGCTTAATGCTTATTCGCCAGTACAGCAGCGCGCTGCTTAAGGGGGTTAGAGCGGTACAGCCAGTCTCAAAAGTTAATTCATATTAAAAATTAGTGTATTTTATGACTATTCTTGATAAATCATGCGAGCTATTTCATATCGTACAGCAGAAGATTACTAAGAAGTGAGAAAATAAAAAATTAATACTTCAAAATCGAATTTATGCTCCATGTTTTATTTTTCATCTGCTGTACATAGATATACCAATAGCATTTTCGTAAAATTTTTAATAAAGTATTTCTTAAACCGTGACGGCTTGCTTCCTCAAATTTGGATATGTTATTTTAATTGTTACTTACAATTACATACTAGTTTTTTGAAAGAATTGTAAAAATATTTTCCAAGTTGTTGGTAAAAATGTACATGTCGCGACGACGTTCTCATAAGATTCTGTGTATAAGATACTAAGTTTGCTATTTTTTTTCTCAAAAACTGTGATGCTACGGTTCCTGAAATTCCAATATGTTGGTAACGTAATGAAAACAAACGCATTATAATTTTTCGAAGACTATCGTAAGAAATTTGTTTTTCGCTCTAACCCCCTTAAAGTATAGGCCCCGCCTGAGCTCTCTCTCTAGCTTCCCCACTCCAGCCTCCCCCCAGATGGTTAACCCAAGCCTTCCCTTACAACTTATATACTGCTTCAGTATCATGTAGGAGTAAGTTAATGGTAGCTGAGTTGGCTAGCGCATATGATGATTTTGCTCACTTAATCTTCGAATCTCAGCAGCGCAATTTTTTTTTTTTTTTTATCATATTAATCAGGAGAGTTATATTTTTTTTAATTATTATATATCATGTGCGTATTTAAATTTAATGCGTAGTTTAAAAAAAAAAAAAAAAAAAAAAATTGCGCTCCTAAGATTCGAAGAATAAGTGAGCAAAATCATCACGTGCGCCAGCCCACTTAGCTATTGATAACTTTCTCCTATGTGATACTGAAGCAGTATATAAGTTGTTAGGGAAGGCTTGGGTTAACCATTTGGGGGGAGGCTGGAGTGGGGAAGCTAGAGAGAGAGCTCAGGCGGGGCCTACTTTAAGCAGCGCGCTGCTATACTGGCAAATGAGCATTAAGCTCTTCTGCGCATGTGCGACGCCGCACTACCGTCTGGCATCACTAACTTAGTAAGAGCGACATGAGCCGGGAGGCCCAATTTGCCTCGTTACAAGGTATTCCAATTTAGCTGGAGGACCTTAAATCGAATGTAAAATTAATGCTTACTGTCACATAATTCCCTCCACATGATACGTAACTTTTGCTCCGACTTTTTTTGATTTGGAGAATCCTTGCTAAGATAATCAGATTTACAGATAAAAATGACCCATGTGTTGGTATACTTATTCGTACATTTAAATATATTGACGAAAAAACTAGAAACATGCAAAGTTTTTTTCGATTTTAGTACAGATGATTTGTCTTTGATATATCATTATTGTTATTTTGTTTTTCGTTTCGTATAAAATATCCAATCTCATTCCAATACCCAAACAAC